GCCTTCTGCGGCTGGTTGCTTTTTAAAGAATGATTTCATAAACCCCCCCGAACAACGCAGACACCTCTCAGCTGCCAGATCTACAACAACCCCCGCCTCCTCTCTGCAGTATTTCAGCAGCTGGAATAACTATCCAGAACTCTCCTTCTTGGCTTAAAAAAACAAAACACATACTCCTAACCCCACCAGTAAATGTTGCTCCTTGCTCTACTGCACCAGCTGTTGTGCTCCCTCCAGCAAAAGAGAAAACATGGTGAAGTATCTCCAGTAGAGACTTTGGAGAAAGATGTTCTCCAGATGTTTTCGAGTTCAGCTCTGCACATTCCTGACCACTGGCCAGGCTGGCAAATGCTTCTGGGAACCGAAGTCCAAAATGTCTGGCAATATCTCTTCTGCCCAGCCCAGCTTCGGAGAACTGAACTGGGAGGAGGCAGTTGCAGGATTGCTCAACAACAACAACAACACCAATAGCAATACCACCAATAACAACACCTTGTTCCGTAGAATATCGTATCTTAACAGATGTTAACGACCAACTCACTGATTCTAGGCCTGAGCATTATGGAAAGTTTCTAGTTGATAAAGGGTCCATGACTGCTCTTTAGAAGGCCAGATCCTGAAAATGAAATGCAAATACTTTGGCCACCTAATGAGACGGAAACATAGAAACAGAGCGAGTCAGAAGGGGCCTCCCGGGCCATCTAGTCTGACCTCCAGCACCAGCCGGCTCCGCTCACGACATGCCCACCATGTGGACGTCCTGCCTATCCTTGAACACCCTCACTGATGGGGCCTCAACGACCTCTCGTGGAAGCCCAGTCCACACCCTCGGGGTCCTGACTGTCAGGAAGGAAGGACTCCCTGGAGAAGAGCCTAATGCTGGGAACAATTGATGGGAAAAGAGGGGGACGGCAGAGGACGAGGGGGCTGGATGGACTCACTGGGGCAGCTGGTGTGAGCTTAGCTGGACTCCAGGGGATGGTGGAGGACAGGAAGGCCTGGAGGAATGTTGTCCATGGGGGCGCGATGGGTGGGATGCCACTTCGCAACTAGCAACAACAACAACAGGCGTGAGGTGGGACACGGACAAGTATTTCGAACAGTGTGGACAAAAAAGCACAAAACAGGAAAAGAGAAACGACCGTGTTACTAACAGCAGTCACACACAGGGGTGTTGTTGCTGGAGGCACAAACATCCTGTCGAACGCCATGCGTCTTGAGAAAAACCCTCATTTCCAGTCAGGGCTGGGGGAAATTCTTTACCCTTGCCTCAGCAAAGATGGGGAGACAATGCAAATGGCTGCCATGTCCCCCCAGAAAAGCCTTTGTCTATAAAGTCTGTTATCTTGCTTTATTTGGGGAACTTCCCAATGGTTCCCAGCATTCCAGCTGAACTGCCCCACTTCCTTGGCCGCTGACTGGGGGTGCTATTGGAACAAACAGACCAGGCCTGGAATGTACACGTGACGCACACAGAACACCCTCCTTTTGTGAAGCCCTGGACGATTTATGGACCTCCAAAGTCTTCAGCTACAAGCCCCATGATCCCCTTCCACTGGGCTAGGGGTGGTAAGAAGTATAACTGAAAACTTCAGAAATGCCACAAGTTACTATCCTGTTATAAAGCTTCATTGTACCTCGAATTAAAATGACTAGGAATAAAATTCTCTGTATTCTCCCCTGCTACGCACATACACAAATCTGGTGGAAAAGCATCTGGAACCAACTCGGTTGCGCACAAACCCGGTCGCTATCCAAGCACCGATAACCCTCGGAGGCCCAACTTGACTGAGAGAGAAATAGCAGGGCCTCTTCAGCGGCGGCTCCTCAGTGAAGGAATACCCTTCCCAGTGAGGCATACCTGGTACGTTCTTAATTGCCTTTCCTCTGCCAGGCAGACACATTTTTATTTTCTCGAAAATCTTTCATAGCCTTACATTGTTCTGTAATTTAAGTCAGATGCTTGGGGTTTGTACATTCAGATTTCTTTCCCTTACCTGCTCTAATGGATTCTTGCTGCAAAGGTTTGATCTCTTGATCCCAGCTGCATAAAGATTTTGATCTTCAAGTGGCTTTGTTCACTTCCTAATACTTATTTGGTGATTCATTTGCTTGTCTGGAGATTGGAGAACTCCTGCTATTGGATGACTGCTAAATGAAATAAATATGAGAATAAACAAACAGACAAATCCATGAAGAGGGCCCATATTACAGCTAAGTGGAAACACCATGCTCAGAAGCAGTCTATCTTTCCCTTCAAGAACAGATTCCCCTGGGACAGTGATGGCGAAACCTTTAGAGACCGAGTGCCCAAACTGCAACCCAAAACCCGCTTATTTATCACAAAGTGCCAACACTGCAATAAAAACTGAAAACTGAGGTTAGTTTAGAAAAAAACAACTCATGGCCAGTCCAAGCAAATATATATATATCCTATATATCCTTGGCAGCGCACTGACCGGCCATGCGAAAGCTCGGACGAGTTGCGGCTAATGAGTCGCGGCTCGTGACCTCATCGCCTGGCGCCGCTACTCCTTTCCGAGCATGCGCATGGCCCCTGTGCGTGCCGTTATCCGATGCTCGGCTGCTGGGGCGATGCAGCTGCGACTTGGCTCACGTGCCGAGAGAGGGCCCTCCGTGCCAGCTGCGGCACGTGTGCCAGAGGTTCGCCACCACTGCCCTAGGGGCTTCCCGGCTGCATCTGGCAACTCTGCTCTTGTCTAGCAGGGCAAATCCTCCTTCGAGGGTCCCCAGTTGGGCTAAGAGTCTTGACTGGCCCAGTCCCCAGTTGGCCCCAGGGCCAAGCGGGGACTACAACCCAGGTCACCTGAGCCCCTGGCCCACGCTTCGTACAACCGCACCACACTGGCTCGCTTAGCAGCCCTTGGATGCTTCCGAGTCCCCTTCCGATTCTTTGTAGGTACTTCTGCACACCCGAGCTGAGAATTCCTCCCTCTGGTCCAAGGCCGGGGCTGTTTCGGATCACACCCCAGGCACTGAGGGGCTGTGGCAGATGTGAGCTGCATTCAGACTGCAACTCTCGCATCCACCTCCTCTCCCGACCTCACCCCAAAGTTCCCACCTGGGCCACCCAGGCCGTCAGTCACTTTAACGACAACTGAGAAACCCAAAGAGCTAACCTCTTAAAAAAACCAAGCAAACCCTCTGGATTGCAGAAATGTATGGGACCCGTAGAGGCCAGGAAACCCTCTGCCAAAATAAATGGGTCAACCACAACATTACATACGTCGGCGGCACAGTGTTGACAGCGGTCCAAAGGAGGGCTGGCTCCGTTCCAGGCCTCGCTGTGGACACGGACGCACGATGCCGCGGACCGACCTGGCAGGCGCAGCAGGGCCGACGTCACCCCGTCTGGCCCGGCAGCCAAAGCTGGCCGGAGCTTCTGTCTGGCAACGCTGCCAGGCCCCGACTGCGGCCAAAACCCGACAGCCAAGCCGTTTGTGCAGCAACGGTGGCGGTGGCGGCAGGCCCAAACGGAGCAAACCGGGTAGCCGGGATTGAAGTCCGGGAACCTGAATGTCTGGCCAGACACAGTTCTGGGATTCTGGTTTTTTGCCCCTCCTGAGAGGAGTTATATAAGGAAAACAGGGCAGAGATTTATACAAGAGAGCACAAGGGCAAGAAAAAGGGCTTTTCTTCTCCTCTCTCCCCCACGTATGAGAATCGGGAGCGGTTTCGAGGGGGCGTGGATTCTGCATCTGAGGGGAATGAGTGCTTGTTTGCTCAAGGGGGCGGACAAGAGCTCCGTGAAAACAGGAACGGTGACAGGCGCTGCCGTATGTCAAAAGAGGATGAGGCGCGTTAAGGGAAAAGCAGCAACTGGGGAGAAACTGCCCACTGTACCAGTGCCTTTCAGACCGAGACGGGGAGCTCTGAAAGACAGAGCCGTGCAGCCGCGAAGTGGGTGGCGCACGGCCAAGGATGCAAACACGACGTGCGGATCTGCAAAGGGAGCACCTCAGAGGTTTATTGTCCACAGCTGGCCCCATCCATCCCCTTCCCCAAATTCCGGAATGACCAAGAGGGAGGGAGAGGAAGGAAGCAAGAGTCTGAAGGGAGGCCGTGCCACAGGGCCGAACGTACAGAAAGCAGTGGTCCAGCGGGAGAAGCCGCGCACGCCGCCTGGGCGGCAGCTCACTCCTCCTCCTCCTCCTCCTCCTCCCCCATGGCGATGGCGCGAGAGCGTGGGTGGCTCGGCGCCTGCCTCTGGATGGAGACGATGCCCGTCAGGAGCGCGTAGCCGGCCATGGCGGCCAGGCCCACCAGCACGGAGAGGATCTGGCTGCGCAGCTGGAAGGGCTCCTCTTCGGGATCGCTCCCGTCCCCGGCAGCTGCCTTGGGGACGCTGGGCGGGGGGTCACCTGGGGAAGAAAGCACGCAAAATTAAGAGCGGGGCGGGCGAGGGATGGGCTCCGCAGGCCGCCGAGGGACCAGGGAGCGGACATGCCTTTGGGCATGCCCACAGGGCCACCCCGCTCCCTCCGGGGCGCTGCAGGACGCCGGCCCCTCCCTGGCGGGGATGGAGACGCTGCCGCCAGGCTGGGCAGTTTCTGGACGCGGAGCGGGGCCGGGAGGATGGTTCTGCCCACCGGCTGAGTGGCCAAATGTGCTGGCAGCCGCTGCTCACTTGAGCCGTGACGCACGAGCTCGCGTTGCCCCCGAGAGCCGCACTGAGAGGTCTCTGATGCTGTGCCAGCGGCACCAGAGGTGAGGAGCCTCGCCCTGCCAAGGGCCGGATGCGGCTTGCGGAGGAGCCTCTGAGGGCTGCGTACCAGCGCTGAGCGGGCCGGGAGGCAAAAGGCGCCGGCCAGGATTGTCTTTAAATCCCGCGGCAGAGTGATCCTTAAAGCTCTTACTGTCAGCAGGTGAACGAGGAGGAGAGGCGTTTCAAGCTTTCACAACAGAGGAAAGCACTGCAAATATGGCAGGGAGCCGCCCAGCTTCGGAAAGGAGGGGAGGGAAGGCCAGAGGCCCGGACGGAGCCCCAGGCGGGGCGGACTTGGTCCCGCGGCCTGAGGGTCCCCACTGCCGATCTGTATACTCACAGACATCTCCACGCACACAACAGAAGGGGGTGAGCGGGTGTCATTCCATCATCCCTGCTCCAGAAAGACTTTGGGGTTTTGCCCCTCTTCCCTCCCCATCGCTTTTCCTTGTGTGTCTTGTCTTTTTCTCCACCTTCTCCCCTCCCTTTGCCTTCTCCCTTGTATGCCATTTTTTGTGCTTAGCCTGCGGGTAGGAACTGTCAAGTTTTACCAAGTATCTGGAAGCCATTCTGGGAGGCTTTCACAAGGCAATATCAAGAACACGTCAACTAATCAGATCAACAGGTCAGCACTGACCTCCGTCCCAAGGGAAATAGAGGGTCAGAATGGTGGTACAGTAATTGCAGAGGTTCGGCAGGGACTTGAGGTGTTGCTGAAATTTCCCATTGGGCAGCTTGGCCTTCAGGAGCGGAGCCAAGTGGCTGAAGACAAGGGCGTCGAGGGAAGCCGGCCTGGAAAACGAAAGCACAAGCAAGCTCAGGCACGCCGGGAAGGCCAGTGTGAGAGAGCACCGTGACACGGAGTGACCCTCTGTCCCACTCTGCAAGCAGGGATAGTTTGACATGAGAAGTGTCGCTTTTTGTATCTCAGATGGTGATACAATTTATGGGGCTTTGGCCTCAGAGAAAAACACACATGGAAATGACATGTTTCCACTTGCCTCTGAGATGGCCAAGTTTGGGCCTGGCACAGAAATTCCACACGGCATTGGCCAAATCGGTGCTAGAAATCACACATGTTGCTGATTTTAAAAAGCCCCATAACGATGCCCAAGGAATTATGGCCCAAAACGGACTTCTGGCCCCTTTTTATGGCTCTCTTCTCCCACTGGCAACATTTCTCCTGTTCCCAACCCACACAGGGCCCACTGGGACGCAGAACACTCTGGGATGCTCAAGAGGCATATTCCAGCTCTGGAGAAAGACAGAGGCACAAGATGTGATTCGGAGGCAGAAAGGTCACAATATCATTTGGCCCGGCTTCCTGGGCACCTGCAGCGCCCACTGGGAATTCTGGGTGCCATTCAACATTGGCAAGAAAGGGGTCTCAAGGGCCAAGGGGGGGTCACCGGGAATCCTCTGGGAAATGACGACCCCACCTGCCTATAAACGGAGACCTTCTACCTCGACAGTAAACTGTCCCTTTCTTCCTGTCCCTCTCCCAGATGAGTGGAGAGCACCTTGCCGCGCTTCCCCTTCCTTTTCCTACATTTCTCTACCACTCAGCAGCCAACGCTCTCTGGCCAGGTGAACCTTCCCCCCTGACTCTTTGCCGCCGGCGCACGTGGCCGCGTGAAGCTACTTACGAGTCTCCGAAGAAGAACTTCTGCCGGCCGAGGCGCTGGGACAACATGGTGATGCAGTCGCAGGCTTCGCGGTACAACTGTGCGGCAAAGAGGGGAGGGAAGAGGCGGGTTCAGTGGCACCCACACCGTACCTGCCAGAGCTCCGTGCTGCAGGAAGGGGAAACCCCAGAGGCAGGGTGGGGGGAACCCAAGGGCACTGCAGAGGTTGCAAACCTTCCTCCCTGGAAGAACATCACAACAGGGGGAGACCAACTTGGCCCCAGAAGGGAATTTCTATTGCCCTACCAATAAGAACTGGGGTCTCAGGTACGTTTGTCTTCATTTTTCCTCCTCCCGCCCAATCTATGTTCCTTTTGTGTCATGTCTTTTAGCTTGTAAGCCCGAGGGCAAGGACTGCCTGCTAATTGTACGTGACTCTGGGATCCTTTTCTGCCTGACAACAGGGTAAAAATGCGACAAAACTGAATACAAATAAAACTGCTGCTGCGGAATTTCTCTTTGTAGCCCTGGGCTATTTTTTTTTTTTAAGGGATGTTTTGGGAAAGGGTAGCCCCACTGCCTGAGCCTGGCTGTGGGGTGCCAGCGCCCCCCACTAACCTCCTTCTCAAGCTCTTCCTCGTTTTCCAGGCAGTTTTCCCCACAGACCATCTGCAGCCGCTCCACCTGGCGCTTCTGCATGCGGCCCGGCAGAAAGAAGTTCAGCGGGAAGGGGATGGCCTCGGCGTACCACTTCCGTGTGTGCTCCACGTAATTCTTGGCATCTACCCAGAAGGTGTGGATCTGTTGGCAGAATAAGCACCGAAAGATCATTTCCCACTCGCTGCAAGCTTTGCCAGTTATGGCGTACCCCATAATTGTGCCCCAAATGTGGAACAGGGCCACACCAATCAGATCAGACCTGGTGAATCACAGAATCCTAGAACAGTAGAGTTGGAAGGGGCCAGGAAGGCCATCCAGTCCACCCCCTGCTGTTGCAGGACACCAGTTTACACCATCCCACTCAGAGGGCTGCCCAGTTTCTTTCTGAATGCCTCCAGTGTGGGAGAGCCCCCCTCCTCTCCAGGCGGCTGGTCCCACTGCCGTATTGCTCTGACAGTGAGGAAGCTCTTCCTGATGCCCAGCCTGAATCTGGGTTGTCCCAACTTGAACTGATTATTCCATGTCCTACACTCTGGCATTAGCAAGAAGAGATCTTGACCTTCCCCTTTGTGACAGCCTTTCAGGGACTTCTAGAGGGATCTCATGTCCCCCCCAAGCCTTCTCTTCTCAAGGCTGAACATGCCCAGTTCCCTCAGTCTCTCCTCACAGGGCAGTGTCTCCAAACCCTAGATCATTTTTGTTGCCCTCCGCTTGGACCCTTTCTAATTTACCTGCATTTTTATCTTGGTGCCCAGAACTGGACACAGTATTCAAATATTGATTTGTATCCAGTGTTCGTTTCACCACGATTAGGAAAAGATTGTAATTATCACTGGACCACAGAGGGACGTAAAATTACTGCGGTTCAAATTCAAGCATTCTGGAACTCAGTAAAATTCCGTCCGTGTTTTGTGACCAGCAATCGGAGATGCAGCACGGCTCTGCTTTCGCCCTGCGAGTCCCGAGGAAAGGAGCTGTGCCCCGCGACCCAGTCGGCTCCCTCCTCGCACGCCTGGATGCCGCTACTCACCAACACGGGCAGCAGCTTCTCCTGCAGCAAGGACGCGAAGGCCAGCGTGTCGGCACCCTGGAGAGCCGAGAGGTCATAGTCGGCATTGAACTTCTGCAGGGAAGAGCGGACAGGTCAGGGCTAGGACGAAGGGCACTCTTCCTCCAGCAGCCACACGGCATACCAGGTGAGGCTGTGCTCTGCTGGCCCCGTGTCAGGACTATACCACTTTGGACTGAAAGCACCCTGTGTGGACTGCAAGGCTGCCAGGAGGTGGCACTGAGGCTGGGCAGAGCGGCTTCCCAGTTCCAGCTTTGGGATTGCTGGTCAGGTGGGAGGAATTGCATAATTTATTGTCATTTGAATAAAAGACACACACTCTGCCTCGCCTACAGAAAATCAGCATTTGAAAGGAGAAGGTGTTTGACCAAGGCTTCTACAGTGCTCCCGTGTGCATGAATTTTTATTTTATTGTTTCTTGTGGAGGGAAATGTTTCCAAAACTAGCAGCAGGAAACAGATTTCACTACACGATCACTAGGTTGGCATAAGCCAAGTCGTGACTGGTGCATGGAAAAGGGGAGAGGGAAAAAGGGGTGACAGAGCGAGAGGGAGAGAAAGAGGAAATTCAGCAGGCGACTGAGAAACAAAAAGAAAAGACGCAGCAGAGAGAAGGGATAAAGAGCACGGCTGAGAGAGAGGAGGTGTGGAAGGGGGCGGGGAAGGTATGATTCGGAGATAGAGCAGGGGGCAGCCCAGTGAGGGGGCGGCTCCACCCACTTTTGGCTTTGGTCCCCCCCCCTGGCTTTGGCCCCATGCACTGCCTCCACGTACCCCAAGAGAAAACTCTGAGGCCTTCAACAGAAAATAGGTTCCCCCCCTAATGCTAGAAGACAGAGTCAATCATGATTTGGGAATTGCATCCCGTACAAACTATGGGGCTGGGAGGGACCCTGGGGGGACCCACTACCTTCGCCCCATAGGACTGCCACCAGGGCGAAGAGGGAGGGAGGTACGGGGTGGTGGTGGAGACCTGTTTCCTGAGGTGGGTGATGATCAGCTGGGGATCCGAGATGACGCCCTCATCTCTGGACTTCAGCGCCGGGAGCGTTCCTGAAATGGGACGAGAAGCTGGAACTGGCTGGGTTGCACCCAGGGCTGGCTGTGCCCCCCACGCCCTCCTGCTCACGGGGCCCCTAAGCCTCCTCGGATGGGAGCGGAGGGGTGGCCCGGGACACCCACAAGAGCGTGCATGCAAGATCCTGGCTGGACCGGGGCCTCCTCAGCCCACACCGGACCAGGCCGGGTCCCCACTTTGCTTAACCACACAGGAGCAAGCAGAGACCCCTCCAGCCCCCGTGGGACCCTCCGCTGGCGTCCGGAAATAACATGGCGAGAGGAAACCCCATGGTCTGTCCCCTTCCTGCTCCCAGCCAATGGGGTGCCCCCTCCTGACAGGTCAGACCACAACTCTGGGGATGATGGGAGCCACAGTCCCACCTGCTGGGTAGGCGATGCTGAGCGAGGAGATACCTTTTGTCCCAAATTTACTCCCAGCCTAGGTAACTCCTAGCGTCCTGAGAAACAGTGCGAGCAAGGATTCCCGCGCACATTTTTCCACGCGATGCCCAGCCCAGCACCCGGACATAATGCACAGCCCTACCAAGCTCCCCCCCACCAGAAGGTTACCTGAGGGGCTTCGCCACGGATTGGCGATTTTGCGGACCTTGAGAGGCGCTCCGGTGAAACGTGCGTACGCCTGCGAAGAACCAAGGAAACGAAGGATTACACTCCAAAAATGCAGCGGATTCTTACGTTTTACTGTTACCCAAGGAGCTCAGGGTAGCTTACAAAGATCATACGCCACTCTGCTTTTATCCTCACGACAACCCTGTTAGGTAGGGTAGGGCCAGGAAGCAGTGAGTGGCCCAAGTTCACAGAGATCTCCGCAGCATAGCAAGGACTCTCTCACTAGTAAATGTGAACGACTAGTATTGGTGTATTGTGAACAGACTGCCGGTAGACTGCACCGAGGACTAGTAACTTGCTAAACTGAATCTATTTGCGTTTTTATCTCATCCTTTATCCAGGATGATAGGGCGACATACATGGTTCCTTCCACTTGTCCCTTTTCTTACAACAACCTTGGAAGGTAGGTTAAGCTGAAGAATTGGTCCAAGAACACCCAGTGAGTTTCTTGACTCAGCACAAATAAAAAATAAATTAAATAAAAAACCATAGGTCAGAGCTTGTCCTAAACTGGAACCCTCCAGATGTTGGCTGCAACTCCCAAAATCCTGACCATGAATTAGGATAGCTAGGGCCCATGGGAACTGAAGTCCAAAACATCTGGAGGAAAGCAAGTTGGGGAAAGCTGACCTAATGACTAATACCACAATGGTTTTCACTGATGTGGGCTTTTGTGAGTCCTGTGGGGTTGTTTGGGGAAGGTGGGGGGCAGCAGGAAAAATACGTTTTGTGCAGTCTTTATAAACAGAGGAGAAATGCAGAATGCATCTGGAGCGGGTTAAGTTAGCAAAGGCTCATGAAGCTGGTGGAACCAAGCTCTACTTTGCATTGCTCTGGCACATAGGACCCAAAGTTAAAGAGATTTAGATGGACTTCTCAGTGGTGCGGGCTCTACAACACCGGGACAGACACTGCCTCGGAAGATTTTTTTACGCATTTTTTGTTTGGGTTAAAAGATTTCCTGCATCAGCAGTGGGTTGGGCTAGATGCCCTCTGAGGTCACCTCCAAAACTTTCCCCAGCGTCCGTCCCAAGAGCTCCAAAAACGTAAAGACGGCCTCCGAATAAAAGCTGATACATAGATACAGAACTGGAAACCCTTCCAAATCCAACGCCTGGTTCAAAATGAAGCTCTCCTGCACTGCCGCTCCCGCCTTCCCTGACCATCGGCCACGCCGGCTGGGGACGGAGCCGGGGCCCGAGCCGCGGGCAGAGGCGCTCGCAGAAGGCGCCGCCAGGCCCCCGAGACGCCGGAGCAGGGCCGCCAAGCGCACCCCCTGCAAAACGGACCCGGGGCGCGCCGAGCCCCGCTGCAAATCGCGTGCATCCCGCGCGCTTCGCTGCGCCTCGCCTCGCGCGCCGCCGGAGTGGCCCGGGGTGGGGGGGACGGGCGGCGGGGCCCTCGCCGGGGCCCCCGGGGCTACTCACCAGGACGGCCAGGCAGTCGGGATCCACCGAGGGCAACCCCCAGCCGCCTGCCCAGCAGTACAGCTCCATGGGCGCCGCCATCTTTCAGCCTCCCCGACCCGGAACGACACGCGCCGCCCGCAGGAGAACAAAGAGGAGTCGCTCCGGATCGGCGCGCGTTCGCAAGCGCCCTCGCTTCTCTCTCTCTCTCTCTCTCTCTCTCGCATATAATGTATGCATATATTGTAAAAATCTGCCTTTTTCGCTGTGCAACTTGGCGATGGTGAGCCGGGCTAGGCACGTTTACTCGGGAGTAAGCCGCGCGGAGTTTGGCGCAGACAGAGCGCCGTAGGGCGCGCCGCCCGCTCAGGAGTCAGTCCCATTGGGTTGGCTGGGGGCTTGCGACCCGGTAAGTGCGCAAGGCTGCCCTTGCGCGGAAGAAACGTTACTTTTAATCATTCTCAATCAATTGCTGTGCTTCTCCTTGATAGACATGTCCAGGACGGTTCATATTAAAATATGAATAATCGCAATAGCACAACCGCATTTCTATCGACTCGGGGTCAAGCCGTGGGGTCGGATCGACGGTTTATGGAATATATACCTATGCATGTCTAGAAGGAAGAAAATCCTACAATTCCCAGCATGCCCCGTCCAACGCTGCTGCAAACGTGACGGTTATGTCTGCCAGGGCATGCTGGGAGTTGTAGGACTTCATCTAAACACGGCAAAGGGTGCGCACTAACTAAATGCAGATATAAGCCTATATACAAGTCGTCCTGATGTTTTGGATTACAGCTGCCTGCATCTCAGACCACTGGTGATGCTGGCTAAGGCTTATGAGAGCTGAAGTCCAAAACATCTGGAGCGCACGAGCAGGAAACATGAGAAAACTTCTTAATAAACACCTAGGAAGGTGTGTCCCATTGAATTCAGCAGAGCCATGGCTTGGGTGGGGGGGGGGGGGGGCTGTAAATTCCACCCTGTGATGCAGGTTCCCCAGTCTGGGTCCCTCCAGATGTGCAGGGACTGCAATCCCCAGCATCCCCCAACAGGCCAGGAGTCTGCTGTTTGAGCATTGCGCATGTTTACTTGGGTGTGTACAACTACTGAGCACAATTTTATATTGTTATTTATTTTATATTGTTATTTTTATATTGTTATTTTTGTATTTTATTTCATGTTGTGAGCCGCCCCGAGGCTTCGGCGAATGGGACGGCATAGAAATGTTTTAATTAATAAATAAATAAAATGGGATTTCTGGTCCCAATCCTATCCATAGAGACTAAAGGATGCTTCCAGGAGCAGCTTTTCATCCTGCCTCATCCACAGAGCTCCACGTGGTGCCTGTCTTTGCCTTGTAACCCTGTTTTTCCCCATCTTTTTCTCTCCAGAAACAAATCCGTAAAGGAAGAAAAGTTACAGGCAGCACAATAGCCCATAAGCAAGGGTCGAGCGGGCTTTTGGGTTGTCTGAACGCAGCCTGTAGCTGCGCCATGCCTTTGGGTGGCTGGTGCTCGGAGCTTTCTTCTGGGACACTTCCTACGAATTGAGCCCCATTAATTTCTCCCTGGTGTCTGCCTCAAAGTGCAGGTTGGGGCACTTATTCACATAAGAATATCTAACACTATAGCCTGACAAGTGAGATTTAAACATTTGAAGGAAAGTCTATCTGCAATTCTAAGTGGCACGGATGCTTTTAGGGTCCATAAGACTCTAAATGTGGCTGGGATCCACTGAAGTTAAAGGAACTCACTTCTCTAGAAACAGACAGAGATCTGAGCATACTGGGCTCATTCCAAGGACCTTTGAGCATGTGCAGAATGCATTCAGGAAGAATTAAAGCAGGCAGCTTTCAGGCAGCTTCCAATGTATGTATGTATGACATGAGACCTTTGTCCTGGAAAAATATTCAAGAATTTCTGAGCAGGGACAGAAGGCGTTTTCTTTGGCCTAATACTTGGCATTTCAAGTGTTCAGAGCCTTCCGTGTGTATTGTGGGGCCCTTAACACCGTGTGGGGTGGATTGATACTGTGCCTCTACTGCAGAATGAAGGGCTGAAGTGCAGCCCACGTTCAAAAGCCGAGCTGCAGTTGAGTTCTTGCTACATCGGAGCTGCTGCATCAAAACCTTTTCAACACATGTTGGAAAATAATTTTACTCTCCTGCTTAACCGAGCAAGAAACGCAGCGGGCGGATCCGACGTCAAAGCTGCTCGTGCATTTGCGGACGGCAAAGGATTCCGAGGAGAGGAGAAACACGAGGAGATCAGTTTGGGGTGGGCAGGCCGCGACACGTCCTGCCTCCCTTTGCCAAGGGGGGCGAGATTCTGCCTTCGGGCCAGGCTTCAATATATGGGCCTTGTTCCTGCCCAAGGCAAAGCGCTGACTCGCGGGGCAGGAAAGGACCCAGGCAGAGGGCCAGCGCATTCCGCTGTGGCTTTGGCCGCATTTTATTTCCCTGCCAAAGCAGCCGTTCCAACATGACCTCATTTCGGAGGGGACACCGAAATGCCATTCCATCACACCCTGGGCTGAAGCGTGTATAACTTCAGCGAGCCGCCCCACAGCTGGTCGGAGCAACTGTATGTACGGCTTTTCTGGCAGGGAGAAGGAAAAAGCAAACGCAGGTTGGACATCTCACCCACATTTATGCCAGGAAGATCCTGAAAAATGAATGGATTCTGTCAGCGGCTTCCTGTGCAGGTTCTGCGGAAGATCGGTCCACCCTGCAGTGCACAGCAGGTCTCCACCTTTTCTGGGCTCGAAAAAGAAAGCTCCCCTCCGTCTGCACTTCCTTTCCCTGCTGTGTTTCCTTTCTCTAGTTTAGGGGTGACTTATTCTACGGAAAGTGCTGAGACAGCCTCTGCTAGCTGATGGGCATGGAATTTCCACCAGAATCATAGGGCCAAGTCATTTCTCCAATAATTGCCTTGCCTCCCTTCACACTGGAAATTTTGTTCAGTTCATTTGGGGTTGCCAACCCGCTTCTGAGCACAGTATTGTGGCTATGAGGCCTAGAAACATGAAATTCTTTACCTGCATCATTGGCCTCGGTCCAGTGGCTTCCAAGGCAAGGCAGACTGTAATGGGTCTCTGGCCCATGGATGGCAGTTACCTTCATGGATAACGGTTGTTTGGTTGTTCCTTGTCTGATAGGAACCAGGAAGTTTCAGTAACTTCATTCAGTTAGCAGGGCAGAGTAACCCGGGCAAATCTTAATTTTGGTTCTCAGCTCTGGTACTTCAATTTGCTTCCTATTTCTGTGGACTCTGTGAGAGCAGAGTTTTAAAACAGGCCATTCATATCTGTTACAAAGAAAATTCCCCTACCCTTTCCTTTTCCAGCATTGAGAACCTGAGACTGGAGACGCTTGATAAAATTGTGTGGTGACAGACTTTGGAGAAAAGAGCATGTTTCATGTAAGGGATAACTAACCTGCGGAACTCACTGCTACAAGATTCGGCGGGTTGGGGGGACACATACAAACAATGCACTGGCTCAGGATAGCACTAAAGAGATGAGACATTTTTCAGCGAGAGAAGCCACAACTGTGAAGAGGATGCCATACAGATGGGCTGGATCCAAGCTAAGGTGGCAAGAAATGGTACACAACACATAAGAAACTCTGTGGAAGATTTGCTTCCATGAGATGTGGGAGCCGCTGGCTTAGTAACCTTCCCCATGGATTAGACATGGAAGAGGTTCAAGGCTATTGGGTCAGAGTATTGAACCCTTTGTCAGCTCAGGGGCCTCACCTGATGCAGAGACAATCTCAAGGGCTCCATGCCAGTGACGGGCGAAACCAAACGCAAAAGGATTTCAGTCTAAACACTTACTGCCAATAATGACGCCTTAGAAGGGGTGGGGAATGTGTCAAAGTTGAAAAACTACCCAAAAATTGGTGCTTGGGAGAGGGGGGAAGAGATATGCCCCTTAGGGGAAGGCTCAGCGGTTGAAAGCCAAGTTAGAAATATAGAAACAGAGCGAGTCAGAAGGGGTCTCTCGGGCCATCTAGTCTGACCTCCGGCTCCAGCCGGCTCCGCTCACGACATGCCCACCATGCACATGTCAAGTTGGTGGCTTGTTTCGAGGCTCAGCAGCTCTGATCTGAAAGGACTGATGCATAGAAGATGGAGAAGGAACGTTTTCCAATGCCCCAGCAGGGGCACATTGGAAATTGTGGGATCACAGGTTTTGGAGAAACATCAGAACTTCCTAGCAGTGTGGGCTGGTCAAGCAGCAGAATAGAGTGCCTTAGGAAACGGCAGGTGCTGTTCTTTGCAGGAGAAAGGCTGGCTATGGGTAAAAGGGATGCTGTCCATTGCCAAAGGGTTGGACTAGATGACCTCAGAAGTCCCTTCGAACCCTAAAATTCAAGAATATGGAACTGTGTGGAGGCAGTTCCCCTCCAAACACTGGCTGTGCCTTCACGTCCGTCGTTCCTGTTTGTTTCCCCAAGAAGCCCATATGGACCAGATGGCATTCCAACAAGCCGTTTTTGCTGTCCGTATACTGCAAATAAAGTCATTTGTGCAAACAAAACAAACCAGAACACAAAATCAGCTTCGTATTTTCCGTGGCCCCTTTCTCATGTCCGTTCCTTTGGTTTCTTTGCTGCATTTCTTGCTAGAAGCTGATGGCCCTTTGGAAGGTCAAGACTCAAACCTGGCCCATGCCCTTGTCTCCAAAACAGGTTGCCATGGAAAGAAAACAAGACTCCTGGACGCGAGTGGGGGGAAAAAATGAAACCCGCTCACTCTGTAATTTTGGGGGAATCCAGGAAATGGAACATTCCTCAACTCTCCTCTCCCCCAGCCGTGCATTACGGAAGGAACCCTTCTCATTAAAGATTTGGCTGGGGCCTCATCTGACCGCAATAGCCTGATGCCAGTGGTGCTTGTGGCCTGGCAGAAGGCGAGGCCGTGGAAAGGCCACCTGGACACAAGGCGGGGCGAGGCCCTGTTGTTATGGCGGACCGAGAAACAAAGCACAAACAAAGGCTGACCACAGCTGGGCGGCAGCCGAGGGCATGGCCACTGCTTAGGGACACCCGTCCTGGACCACCTCGTGGGACCTTCCCCGCCACCAACAGCTGCCTCCCGGGCAAGGCGTGCAAAGAGCGCGGAAACGCGCTTTCGGGGG